TCACGTAATTCTTCTGGGGCAGAGTAGAATAACAGGCAAACTGAGAAGCAGCAGTCCTCGGCACAGAGTACACAGAGTCACCTGTCCTCGAGATATCATCGTCGTATAAGGCACATAACGGCAAGTCAACACTGCTGTCGTTAAACTGGGACAAACACAATCCCCTCCCAAATTAAAAAAAAAAACTCTAAAAAAATAAAACCCAAACTCACCACAGCTTTTACATCAAGACCAGTACAAGTCCTGAAACTTTTAACAAACTACCAAAAACAAAAAAAAACCCACAAGGAAACGCTCATGGGCATTTTTCTCTTGTAGCCTGTACCTCTAAAACAAAATTGTACCAAAAAAAAAAAAAAACTCTACGAAGGTTCATCCCAGTTGATAGCAACCTCAACAGGACAGTTTTGAGATTTCACCTCCTGAACACAACACAACGGAGACCACAGAGCAATATAGAGAACAAAGACCCCAGAAACACAGAGGCTTAACGCAACAGAACATATATAGAACTACTTCAAACAAAACACAAAGACATTAGCATCACAGACGCTGTAGAAGCCTTATCATTCAAATCTTATCCTGCCACATTAGAGCTATTCACCTTCCAAATTGCAATCAGAGCTACAGATTTAGGTTTTCAAAAAAACGAAAAAAACAAACTCCCATCACATTCGTTAATATTATGATCACAAATTCTGACCTTAAAAAGTCCTTTTGTCTTCACAGCTTAAAACTTGTAACACATAATGTAGTCAACATTTAAAACAAAATATTTGCGATGCATTTCCTTGAACATCTGATTTTTGCTCTCTTTTTAACAGAGAAGACATTTCATCTCTGTTGTACTTCAATTACATGACAACTTTCTGTAACTTTCCATCCATCCAACATGGCCGTACGACCAAGACCACACCATACCGTAGGTCACAACCCTAAATTCTCCAAACATTCTTGAAAAAAAACAACAACCTTATTTAATATAGAAGTGTGGCTTTGGTAACAACACATTTTTGAAGTAACAACATTAACTCTATGTCAGGGAGACAGTCACACAGATTTGAAAGGTAAGACCCAATTAACAACAAATTCAAGACATAATGGTGAGAGAAAAGAACAATTAAAACAAACAAAGGTTGAAGTTGTAAACACTGTCAAAAACATGAAAAATTTAATATTGCCGATATCTCTAATACTTAATTCACAAACACATTCATCACACATAAAAGACTACTTCACAAAAAAAGTTCAGAGTCGATAAATTTTCTTCTCTTCAAACACTGCCACAACAAATGAACTAATTTTACGTGTAAAGACGTCTTGTACACCACTAAAAAATCAATCAAGTCGTAAAATGACAAACTCTCTCCAAGAACTTCACAAAAATGGACCAATTTTGCCTGAAAAATGACGATGAATATTGGTCATAATTTTTGAACTAATAAAGCTATCTAAAAAATTTACAAATAATAGCATAATAATCAGTGTCCCAGGCTTTATCCATTGGTATGTCTTTTTGTTCAATTAAATCAATTTGAATTTTTTACAAAAGTGCCTACTTACATATTTTAAGGAACAAGAGAATAGAAACATCAGATCGAGACGGCTAAAGGACATCAAAACCCCAAAAATGTCCAGAAAAGACGTAAAACAAATCTTTCGAGTCCAGCGAGACAAATCACGAGACAAATCATTATGTTTGGTGTGATGTCAACATCTCTCAGTCACATAACTAATCAACATGGCAGAACTTTTAACAAGGTATAGTTTTGGGGTTTTGGCTAAGGTAACAGCCTTCACCACCTTCATTTATCACAATGAGCCTCAATGTTATGAGCTCACAGAATAACACGGAACATATCAGAATCTAAAGGGAGGTGGAAATATTCCCTAATATAGTCTATTGCAAAACCTCTTTAGTACAAGAAAGGAGTCCGTGTTGCACAAAAATTGATCAACTCCAAAGAGAACTTGATGTAAAAATTGCAGCCACTTCATTTCTTCAAAAGATAACCATGGAAACATACATCTTCACAAGATAACCATGGAAACATACATCTTCATAAGATAACCATGGAAACATACATCTGTAACAATAACACATATGGCACTCTGTTTAGGGCAAATCTGGAGTCTATTCCAGAGCATGAAACACTGGGCAAACGATAAACTCATTTTTGAAAGTTTGATGCCAAGTCATCTCTGTAAGGGGTGAGCGTGAGCGTGAGCGTGAATGTGTTGATCTCAAATTAAAATTTATTGAAGATAGAACATCTTAACTTCGAACTCGCTGAGACCTTCCGATGTCTTAATTTTAAAATCTGTCATTTCTTCGCGTTGTAATTTCCCAAAACAGCGTACACGTTGTGACCGGGAGTAAGCTTCAGTCTGATAGTTGAAGGTATACCAGTGGAGTGTAGGTACTCACGTCCACTCGGGTGTTTAGCCCCTGCGAGTACTCACTCGGGTATTTCATAATTACTCCGACTCCCAAGTCCAAAAATACTGGACTTGCACACATCCCCTCAACACATTTCAAGATCAGGAACTATCGAGAGAATAATATCGCTACTGCTGGAGTGACTTCGAGCAAATACGTTTGAATAACATCATGAAAATGGCAAGAACGCAAGAAACATTTCCACAAAAACAAAACCAGTAACAGTTTTTGTCAACCTTACTAATAAACAAAACAGGCATATACAGTTTTTTAGTCAGAGTTTTACGGCACTCGCAAATGCATAAGGTCATATGAGCGCCAGAAGATTAGAGGGGTCACAAGAGAGTAACAAACATAAAAAAGAAGAAGGGGAGATGAGGACGATAGATGTTTGATAGGAAAGAAGGAACAAACCACACCAGAGCACCCGCCAACCACCCACCATATTACACAGTACATCGTCTATAAGTGAGTACTGGGAGGGGAAAAAAAAGCAGCTACAACCAATCCCTCCGAAATATCAAATGCCCTCATAAGAGTTAAGTTGAAGAGATCTTCTGGCTCTATACACAATTCATGAAGTTGCATGTACAAACAAAAAGGCAGCTGACAGTCACAACTAACATAGAGTTCAACAGAGAGTAAATTCAGAGAATAATAATCATTTTACTAGAGAAAATAACAAAAACAACTAATTCTAATCCCTGAACTTAAAATTAATGCAAAGACGCCCAAAGCTTTCGTGGTGACAACATAACAACATAACAACATAAAACACAAGAACTGGACAAAATGAATAAGTGCCCAAAACAGTTGTGCGGCCGTCTAGACAAGCTCTCCAACAGTTGTGCAACCGTCTAGACAAGCTCTCCAACAGTTGTGCAACCGTCTAGACAAGCTCTCCAACAGTTGTGCAACCGTCTAGACAAGCTCTCCAACAGTTGTGCGGCCGTCTAGACAAGCTCTCCAACAGTTGTGCGGCCGTCTAGACAAGTGCTCCAACAGTTGTGCGGCCGTCTAGACAAGCTCTCCAACAGTTGTGCGGCGGCAGTCTAGACAAGCTCTCCAACAGTTCAGTTCTTGTCCTGCTCCTGCAAGAACTTGAAGGTGGAGGAGAAGTCCTTGCCGCCGTAACCATGGTTACAGAGCTGGCGGTATATCTGGAGGGCAGCAGAGCCCAGCGGCGTGGGGGACTGTGTCACGATGGCGGCCGACTGAGCCAGGCCCAGGTCCTGAGGGGTACACACGGGGAACAGGCTCGGTGAAAGCATGGTACAGACAGATGTGTGTGTGTTAAATGTGGGGGGGTTTGGGAGGGTAGGGGGA